ATTTCTTTCTGTATGAAGAGAAAGAATATAAAATCCAAGCTGTTATTAAAACTCTGCATAAAGTTAGGATACTTATCATTGATGATGTGTGAGTGCATTACACCTTAATATTACCTGCCTGTTGTCTGGACCAATGTTTTCCCCAGTAGTTTATCTAATTAGGAAAGTTCCTCTGTCCGGATATTGGGAATGGAATGAGAGCGGTGTCCTTCAGCTAAGAACAAATGGCTGGAGCCATGGATGTCTCCTCATCTGCAAAGGTCTATGATGTAATGATATGATGATTGACATACTGGAGATGTATAAAATGCTTCTTTAACTGTTTATCGGGGCTGCCTCAGGAGAAGTTAGCTCGGTTGGTAAGCAGCTGCCTTCTGTAACTCAAAGCAACTTCTCTAATCTGAGTAAAATTACAATTTCTATCAAAATCTGTTGTCATGTCTCATGGTTGTTTAATAGATATATGTTATGAAGTGTTATTTTAAGCGTTTGTGCCGGCGGATCTCATTTCAGGGAAACGAAACCGGAAAGAGAAAGCTCCATGGTGCAGACACAGAGCTTTCCTTTAACAAGAGTAATTTTTAGGTCAAATATATTAAAAACTGAACACACAAAGTCGAAAAGATGTTTCTTAGCTCAACAATAATGCACACTACTCTTAATGAGCTAGTTCGGCAAAAATGTAAGAACATATATTTTTTACCATTATCTTTACTTTTATACTGTAAGTATACTGTAAATGTAAATCCCTTTGTTGTACCACAATGGGGAAATTCTTTCTCTATATTTTGACCAATCCCCTTGGGGAGCAGTGCGCTGCCATTGTGCGGCACCCGGGGAGTAATGGAGCCATGTTTATTTGAGCATACGGTACTTACTTATCACAGCCGGAGAGTGATGCCAGAATGGCGGACAGGGTTGGAGGTGGAGGGGGCTTAAATAGTCCTTGCTTTGAAGGTGTCGAGCTGGGTTTTGTATGTCATAACTAACAAATACACACAGGAATCACAATTTGTACCGTACAGAGCTACTAAAGAGTAACTCGCATACCGACCATAGCTTAGAAATAGGTAACGTGACTGAGTTAACTTGACGTCTCTGGTCCTCGCGCCTGCACGAACATTGGTGGGTTGATTCGTTCATGTGTCAGGGTATGCACACAGGGGGGAGGGAGAAGCAGACGACCCTGATTGACGTGTCAGGAACCAATAGTGGACCACAGACCGTGTTTTGTGATTGGTGGAGGATTTCACACTGTGGGAAGATCTTCAAGCCACATGGTAAAAAAAAAAAAAAGCGTCAGAAAAGATCTCCTACTACACCCTTAAGGGTTTTGCTCAGGGACCCAGAGTGCAGGCTGTGGGGATCGAAACGGATACTTGCAATCTTCTCTGAGCACAAGCACACTGCTCCAACTACATTTCCCCATATACAGCCTATAGTCTTCATATAAAATTATATTTATTTTACTTGAACCATGCAATATGTTGTATTGAACATTTTGCTAAGCCAATTAGGTAGGGTTTAATTTTTGGAATCAATTTTAGTTTCAAGTTCTCCAATTTTACATTCACTTTTTATATCGCCACTATGTCCTTTTCCCTCAACTCCTTCCTCCCTTTTAACTGCTGTTTCTCTGTTTTGTTTTTGTTTTTTTTGTTTTTTTTTCTCTGGGGAGCAGAATTCACCTCTCTGTGGCCATGTTTCTAGTCTGACATGTCATGCAAAGTGTAATGTCCTAGATTTCTCTGGGTGAAGGCCACAGACACACTTGAAGGAAAAAATAAGACGTGGCACATATGACTAATAACCCCGTCCCTGGGTTTTTAACAGCCTCTTCTTAAAGGGAGTTTGACACCAATTGATCATTAGTTTGATGGAGGCAGCATTGTATCTTGAGGTAAAAGCTTTAAACAACGTGATATGAACGTGTCACCGAATTCCTTTGGAATGGTTAACATTATTTATCTTCTGCTGGATGCAATAGATCTGGCTTGCTATCTGAATAGCAAGAGATGGTATGGTAGCTCAGATTGGACTTTGATTTTGTGAGAAGCATGTTTCCCTAGCAACTAATAACCCTGTTGACAGTGAGGGATTGCATGTGTGTTTGCTTTACAAGTTGGCCTATGAAGGCTTGGACTTTTGCGTTGGTGTTGTGTAAGAGGGCCTCTGGTTTTCACACAGGTAGTTGTAATGGACCTGACAAATGGAGAAGTGAAAGTGAATTTCCTTGAAAAGCATATTTTTCTCTCTGTCCCATCACACTAAGAAATTATAGTTTGTTTTGTTGGGATGATAGTAAAGTAAAGGTTACATGTTTTCCACATTCTTCACGAATAAAAGCCTCTAAAAGAATTATGTGCAAATGGATTCAGGCCTGTTGAGTCAATGCTCTGTAGAACCACCCTTTCTTTGCTCCTACAGCTGCACATCTCTTGGGATATGTCTGTTTTGCTGAGTCTTATGTCACAGATGGCTTCAAGCCTAATTTAAACTGGACGGTCAGCATCTGTGAACCTCAATTTTCTTGTGGTACCACAAGTTTGTCTTGGGTTTAAGTCTGGATTTTTATTTGTCTTTATATTTCCACTGATTCTAATTAACTTTCCTGTCCCTGATGAACTACTGCTTTATCCAGCCACCTTATATTTTCTAAGGCGAAGTACTTCTGTCTCTCTGCCTGTTCATGCACTTTTCTTCTCTGCTCTCTGCTTGCTCGTTTTCCTTTACACTTACATTTTTATCTCTTAACCAAACTGCGACAAAACTGGACTTGGTCTTCTTCATACTAGGAACTCACAATGATTACCATTATTTTTACTACTTTCTAAAGGATTTTGCCATGTTTTTTAAAATCAAAACCCAAGGTAGGGTACATCAGTACCAGTTAGAAAGCACAGGATGCCTCTCATCACCACCGAGAATTTTCACAAAGATTTACAAAAAATTGCTGTTCTGGAAATGAGAATCCTTGACTAGTAGTGAATGTGGAGGTCAATACTGGGTAGAACAATAATACAACTCTGCCCGTGATTCCAAATGGAGACAGCCAAGGGATTTTGGAGGCTAATATGGGGCACACTGATGATTCAGTTATCCCACAAAGTGACACACAGCTCCACATCTCAGCCGGTGAACAGAACACTGATAACAAACGGCAGGCTTTAGGAGCAGTACCAAGAAAGAAAAGGAGAATGATTCACTTGAAGGCAATTAGTTGAATTAGATTGGCCAGATTTACAGAAAAAGGCACCCGTTTCCCCCTCAGAATAAGATATTTGCAACAACAAAAACAAAACAAAACACAGAAGTCATTATTTGCACCAGTAATGTGGTGTCTGATATCTAAGAGAATATTACTGCCATCGCAGAAGAACCCCCAAGTCTTCAGAGTCCCGTCATGCACTGTTGGGACATGGCGGACAAAAAATCTGAACCATTTAAGAAGGATTTTGTTTTTCTGATTAATGAACTTGGAGGTCTCAATATCAAGGGATGTCTCCCTGGACCGTTTTTCTGCAGAAATGAGACTATTGAGACTTATTATGACCAATAAATACTTGCACAAAGTTTGTGCTACGTTAACTCTGAGCTTTATCAATAGTTTCAAAATTATTGGGGGATAAAAGACACCTTTTCAAAAAAGATGGTTTCTATTCAAACCGATCTGGAGCTAAACATCTAATTTTTTATTCTGTGAAAAATCCACCTGCTGTTTCAATGCTGCAAAATACATTAAAGACTTGATGTCGGTGTATCTACAGCCCAGAAATCCCAGGTCTAATCTACCTTACTTTAGATGCATAGGATTTTTTTGTTTGGCTGTTCTGATTGCTATAAAAAAAAGAATGTGTAGACATAAGAGAAAAGCAAGGATCATATCACGTTTTTCATGTGAAACACTAACAAAACACAGAATCTTTGCCTATTAAGATGACTTGGAGGCGCACCAACATGGTAGAGTAACTCCCGGCAGGAGTATCCCAGCTGTCGCAGCCGGTCACTCATTGTTTTAATCTCTGAAAGCAGTGTCACTGACAGATGTTTTCTAAAATGTTGACGTGATGTCCGTTTCTGCTTCTGCCGTTGCTTCATCTTAATAAAATCTCTCCCCAGTTTTAGGTTTGATGAATCACGTTGTTCCAGGAAAGTAATAACACTTGGACATTGTCCTCCCATTATTTTGCACATTCTGATGATCAGCATGTAGTCTGCAATTTCATAAAAGCAAATATGCTGAATTTGTTGAGCAATGACTAAAGGACATTACCGGTATATTTTCTTTTTATTTGGATGCTCTTTAAAAAAGAAAGTAAGATGAAGATAAAAAATAAGTTGGACAGCAGATTTTCCAATAAAATCATCTAAGTGGGAGGAAGGTTTAGTCAGTTTAAGGGGAATAAAAAAAGCAGCTTAATTGGCTTGTTTCTTCCCTGACTGTTCTTGAAAGCTGGCAACGACAGCAGCTCTGCAATCTGACGTTTTCTGCAATGGTTGCCAGTCAGGGCTGCCCAATGTGCAAGAAGGCACAATTAAAATGGACAGACTGACATTGAATGTGACAATGCTGACTCATCTTACCATACATCTAATATAGTGTGATAGTATGGATAATAATAAAAGGAAAGTTTCATAGTTTTATCATAGTAGCTTAAGAATATATTCTGCATGTTTTTTTGTGAAAAGCATCTTTAGTTCATCGATGTATCCAATAGAAAATAAAGGAGCAGTTTCCATCCTGAGTAGTGATGTCAGACTGCTTACTGGAACAGTGAAACCTCTAATAATCAGGTGATATCAGACTGATTTATGACCTTCTATATGACTTCGTTTTCTGGAAGCATCTAATCTCTGTAGAGCCTGAACACTGGCCAATAATTAGCAGTCTCCATTTCTGAACTGACCCCTTAATTCAGAACAGAGTTAAGGGGACTTATACATTAGAGAAATGCCTGTAGGCCCATATTAATCTCTGTGTGTGGCTCTTTTCCTTCCAGAGAGGCCAGTGAATGCAGATCATCAGGAGCGGACCATGTTGAAGGGTGTGTTCAACGTCAGAAAGGGCAAGACACAGCTACACAAGTGGGCAGAGCGACAGGTTATCCTCTGCGGCACGTGTTTAATAGTGGCCTCAGTGAAAGATAGTCTGGCGGGGAAGATGCACATTCTACCCCTGGTGGGTGGAAAGGTAATGACCTTTCATATCCTGAATTTGTCAAAATGTCATTCTCCACAGTATAACGGTTATGATCAATGCTAACATGTTTAAATACTTAAAAAAGAATAACCTCCTTGTTAGCTTGTATTGCTATTGAAAGTTACTTTTGCCCCTGAGCACTATAATTATGAATATTTTCTGGTTTTATAAACCCTAAATGCAAACTAGTTCAAATATGTTGATGTCGGTTCAATCTTCTTATTTTGTTTTGTGAGCCAAGTGGAGGACAGGGTGACAAAATTACTATTTCAATTGTAAATTATCAGGAAGACATAACCCATCCATCCATTAGTTTTTCTTTTCCCAAATCGGATTGTAGAAAAAAAAAAAGGAAAAATAGACATATTCCATCCTTGCAACATTCTCCAACTCTGTAATTTCTCTGCCAGAAAGGTATAGGGCGCCTTTTCCATCGAAAGTCTTTGGATTTAAAGCATCAGGATTTTAATTTCATCAGGGTGTTTTTCCAATTGCTCTTAAAAGTTGCTCAGTGGAGGAAGTTGCTGAGAGGATGGTGCTTTCCAAGCTTACATCCATCATGGACAACACTTTCCACCCTCTCCACCAGACAGTAGAGGAGCTGAGCGGCTTCTTTAGTGAAAGACTTACACCCTGTTTGTAAAAAGGAGAGCTACCACAGGTCATTCATCCCTGCTGCAACCAGACTATACAATGCAACACTCCAACAGCAATAACTTGTGCAATGTATAATGTGCAATTACTATTTGATACCCTGTGCAATAACCTGTTTCTATACATTTGACATCCAGTGCAATAATTATATATATATAAATTTAAATATAAAAATCCATATATATAAATACACATGTAAACACCGTGTGCAATAACCCTGTATAAGAAAAAAAGCTGTCATATGTGGATGCAGTGTATATACTGTGTATACCCCATGCACCTTTTTCTTCCTTTGGCACCTTCTCTTTTTGACTATTTGAGCTGATGTAGCTGTGAGATCAATCAATCAATCAATCAATCAATCAATCAATCAATCAATCAATCAATCAATCAATCAATCAATCAATCAATCAATCAATCAATCAATCAATCAATCAATCAATCAATTCCTCTGTGAAATTGCACCACACTTCCAGTCCAGCGGGGGGCAGTAATAAGAACACCCAACTGCTTTTCCCTTTACTTTCTCTGCCAAATGTCTATAGGTTAATCCTTAAGCATTAGTTTAGATAATTATTTATTATTTAACATATTTTTTTTTTATCAACCTGGATCTGGCCAGGCTTGTAACTTTATAGCTGCATAATTAGTTTACTATAACTACTGAAACTGATTAACACAGGTATGTTTGTTTTATGATGATAATGATCAGGGAAAATTCATATATATATATATATATATACAGGTGCTGGTCATAAAATTAGAATATCATGAAAAAGTAGATTGATTTCAGTAATTCCATTTAAAAAGTGAAACTTGTATATTATATTCATACATTACATACAAACTCATATATTTCAGATGTTTATTTTGTTTAATTTTGATGATTACAAATGACAACAAATGAAAATCTCAAATTCATCATATCAGAAAATTAGAATATTGTGAAAAGGTTCAAAATTGATGGCCCCTGGTGCCACACTCTAATCAGCTAATTAACTCAAACCACCTGCAAAAGCCTTTAAATGGTCTTTCAGTCTAGTTCTATAGGCTACACAATCATGGGGAAGACTGCTGACTTGACAGTTGTCCAAAAGACGACCATCGACACCTTGCACAAGGAGGGCAAGACACAAAAGGTCATCGCTAAAGAGGCTGGCTGTTCACAGAGCTCAGTGTCCAAGCACATTAATAGAGAGGCGAAGGGAAGGAAAAGATGTGGTCGAAAAAAGTGTACAAGCAAGAGAGATAACCGCACCCTGGAGAGGATTGTGAAACAAAACCCATTCAAAAATGTGGGGGAGATTCACAAAGAGTGGACTGCAGCTGGAGTGAGTGCTTCAAGAACCACCACACACAGACGTATGAAAGACATGGGTTTCTGCTGTCGCATTCCTTGTGTCAAGCCACTCTTGAACCACAGACAGCGTCAGAAGCGTCTTGCCTGGGCTAAAGAGAAACAGGACTGGACTGCTGGTGAGTGGTCCAAAGTCATGTTCTCTGATGAAAGTAAATTTTGCATTTCCTTTGGAAATCAAGGTCCCAGAGTCTGGAGGAAAAGAAGAGAGGCACTTCATCCACGTTGCTTGAAGTCCAGTGTAAAGTTTCCACAGTCAGTGATGGTTTGGGGTGCCATGTCATCTGCTGGTGTTGGTCCATTGTGTTTTCTGAGGTCCAGGGTCAACGCAGCCACATACCAGGAAGTTTTAGAGCACTTCATGCTTCCTGCAGCTGACCAACTTTTTGGAGATGCAGATTTCATTTTCCAACAGGACTTGGCACCTGCACACAGTGCCAAAGCTACCAGTACCTGTTTGAAGGACCATGGTATCCCTGTTCTTAATTGGCCAGCCATCTCTCCTGACCTTAACCCCATAGAAAATCTATGGGGTATTGTGAAGAAGAAGATGCAATACACCAGACCCAACAATTCAGAAGAGCTAAAAGCCACTATTAGAGCAACCTGGGCTATCATAACACCTGAGCAGTGCCACAGACTGATCGACTCCATGCCACGCCGCATTGCTGCAGTAATACAGGCCAAAGGAGGCCCAACTAAATACTGAGTGCTGTACATGCTCATACTTTTCATGTTCATACTTTTCAGTTGGCCAACATTTCTATAAATCCTTTGTTTTTATTGGTCTTCAGTAATATTCTAATTTTCTGATATGATGAATTTGAGATTTTCATTTGTTGTCATTTGTAATCATCAAAATTAAACAAAATAAACATCTGAAATATATGAGTTTGTATGTAATGTATGAATATAATATACAAGTTTCACTTTTTAAATGGAATTACTGAAATCAATCTACTTTTTCATGATATTCTAATTTTATGACCAGCACCTGTATAAGATGTACTTTTCTTGTTTGTATAAGTAAATGGGAAAGTGCTCCATCTGATCATTGCTCTATCATTTCCTTTAAGCTGCTGAAATAATAACACCTACTTAAAAGATCAAAACTTTCTGTCAAAACACTCCACAGGTGTTGTTTCAGTCCTGTGCAGCTATGAACAGTGTGCTGTCGAGTCATTTGTGACTGGCATGTTGAGAGCTTTGAGCATCTTGATTGGATCTCCTCTGCTTCTGGTACTCCATAAAAGGAAGCTTTTAAACCTCCTCATGTCTCCTCCTGCCTGAGTTCACAATTATTTCTCCTCTGTTGAGGAAAGAGATGAAGAGTGTGTTCAGAGGATCCTGAAAGCTCTCCTTATACCACCTGAGAGTATCCTCAGTCAATGTCTGCAGCTTTCTTCCAAAATGCATCACACTGGAGTCTTTTTATTAACAAAGACCATCTATTAGGAACGTTGGACCTTTGCCTTGGTGTAAATTATGCTTCTGTTCATTGGCTTTTGTGACCATTAGACTTCCCATCTGGCTGCACAAATAATGCTTCATTGATCTAATTGAATTTTACTCATGATGGATGTGGATAAACAAAATGGTCGAACTTATGACATGCCAAGAGATTTGCCGATTTACTCATACATTTTCCCTTCAGCAGATTGTGTGCAACCAAAGACCGACGGGGTCATTAAGCTTCCATTTGATGCTTTTAGTCGGAATTTGTTTAATTTAAACCCTCAAAACCTGTTAAAACTGAACAAAAAATTTTACCATGTCAGGAATGTTGGCTGTTACAACTTTAAATTGGCCAGATTAGCAACTTGATGGGGCCTTTTTAAACTTTAATCGATGTGGAAGCGCTTTGTTCACACAAGTGTTTAAATTATTATGGAGACCAATTAACAAAGAGAACAGAATTTTAGATGGAAAGGGGTAGAATTTAAATACTTTATCGTCCAAGAGAGGCAATTCATTTGCGATGAATAGATCTGTATAAAAATATTACCAGTTTTTCTGTCGCATATTTGTGTAGCATTGAATGGAGTACCGGCACTTATTTTTCGTCCACTTAAAGCACCGGTCAGAACTCACTATTTTTATTAGTCTTACAGACTAGTCGTTCTAAGAGTCTGACTAGCTGACATCTTTTACCATGTAAAGCTTATCATAATATTGCTTGCTTAATAGAAAAGTATGATCTGAATGTGTGATTTAAAGCTAATGTCTTTCTCTTTTTATCGTGTCGAGGTTGAGGAGGTGAAGCGCAGGCAACACTGTCTGATGTTCAGCTCCGCCGGATCTCGAGAGCAAACTTACTTTGTTAATTTCGACACACTGGCTGACTACCAGCGATGGCACCGACAGGCATCAAAAGTAAGCAAAGAACACAGAGTGATTTTGCAAAAAACAATTTTCCCAAAACTGTTTTCTTTCCAGAATCAAATGTTGGTTCCCAGCTGGTCCTGCTGGGTTTCTACATACTTTAAAGAGTTGATATTGGAACTGCCACTGCGTTCTGGCTAATGGGTCTTCCAGAGATCTAACTGCATTTCAAATTAGGTTTTTTATTTTTTTGTCATACCCACATGTCTACTTAGATTGTGCTTACATTAATATATGGACACATCTGTTTTTTGCTTTTCCTAGCAGGAGAGCATTTTACTTTGTGAGTCACTATGCATCAGCAAATGCTATTTTAGAATCCATACAGTTCTGTATATGTGTTTTTTTCTTTTTTTTTTTTTGAGAAAAATGCCAACTGCTTGCAGCTGTTTCCCTTAAAATTCTGTGGTGCTGAGTTTTCTTTGCATGTAATATAATAATTACTGGGTGATGTAGTTCCTTTCTGTTCCTTTTTGTTCCAGTTCCTTTCTGGAGCTGAATGATTCAAGAATCTGAGCTGAGCCAGAGCCAGGAAGCAGTTTGCAAAGAAATGAGAGAAGGAATAGAAAGCATGAAAAAAAAAAGCAATTAGCTACTGATTCATGGTGGAGGCAGACTTGCTCTCTACCTCCTGTGGTATGAAATATTGGGTTAGAAAAGCCTCTTAGTGCACAGGACTTAGGCAGGCATGTAGAGTAAAGGCTTTTGGAGCAAACAAATCATGACTAAGGAAGCTTTCTGGGTACGTTTTTATGCAACACTGAATAAATTGTCTAAATCATAAAGCCAGTATGTGCACATTAGTGAGAGTCAATATGTGCATTTTTGTCTCCACAATGCTCACCCAGGAGGATTCTTTAGAATATGAGTTTGAGTAAAAAGCAGAAAACAATAGGTCCCTTAAAAACATCTTTGTGAGATTTACAGAAACAGATGTAAAGTCTTAACTCCCAGATGGCTTTGCATGTTTTACTCTTTTTCACAAACTACTCAAAGAAATTAATTATTTGCATGTTTTTATATAAACTTATTCTAATAATTTTTAAAGATGATTTTTTTTGGAGTTTTTAGTAAAGTTACTATTGATTAAATTGTCTTGTTTTTTGTCTTCTTTAGAAAAAGCGATATAAGTACCCTGTTCTTTTACTGGTTTCTAAAATGGCAGTGTTATGGTTTTTTTTAGTAGATAACCCAAACACATGCAGGAGTAAGGTAGAATCACAACATGTCAGTATTTTAAGAAAAAATAAGAACATAGCCGAAGCAGAACTGCTTGGAGTTAATCATAAGGGAGCACCACCATGGGGATATGTGAAGGATAATGATGACTTTGAGAAAACCAGCAGTATAAATAAAGGGGAGGTGACGACTGTGACAAGGAACAGGGGAGTTTGATTAATATAATGTGGAACAGCTGTGGGGGGGCTGAACTATAGTGCTGAGTGTTATTATGTCATCAAAATGAATAAAACAGAAGGAAATACTAAAGCTTACTGAGAGAGAGGGGGAGGGGGTGCTAAAACAAGGGAAGTAAACAAAGTAAGTAGTACAATCACTAAACAGAGCATCAGAATCTACAAAATAAATAAATCCACTATGGCACAAAAACAGAGAACATTAAGATACAGTCAACTTTTCACACGAGGCGTAATCACACGAGTCACTTACCTTTCACCTGCTTTATATTAGTTTGTTATTTATCACGCCGGGGTGTAAAAAGACATTCACAGGGTTGCATTAGCTGTGAGACAGCTATTTCAGTGACCAAGACTTATCATGTTGTCCTTGCTCCAGATTAAGGCCCCCTGTCTTCTTAGCCTGGGAAAAAGATAACGTGTGAGAGCTTGAGTTTCAATTACGTAGACTGAGTATATTTGGCTTCTGTCCTGTTCAAGCAAAATTCAGACCAATCACAAATACTCATGGAGTACATTTCATATGATAATTATTCTGCTTAGGAACTCACTACTGTTTTGTTTTTCCCTTACTCAGTGCATTTAGCTCTTTGGCCTCTTCAGGCTATGACCAATGCTTATTTAAAATGAGAAGAAATTTTTCACATAAGGGCGTTAAGAAGAATGTTTAGGATACTTGGTTTTAAGTATCTTGGTCTGAAAGTTTTCGTAAAATTTAGTATTGCTATCTTTTACTTGCTCTGTCCTTTATGTCATCAGGTTAGATATTTTTTGTGCTTATTTTTTATGTAAATAATTCCCTGTAACTTTTCATCCTAGTTGTAAATTTTGATGTAAAGCCTGAGATTAGAAATGAAAATTATATATACTGTAAACTTTTTCCAAACTTTGATGATTTTTGTGGCTTCGTTATTTAATTGTTGTGTTATTTACCTAATTTTGCATTTTTGGTGTGCTACTTAGTGTATTTTGGATGACTGCTTATGGATATAGTTTTTGCAGAAACACCTTTTGTAACGCTTGATTTTATGAAATATTTCAGAATAATTAACATTTTAGCAGATAACCAAATATCAACTCTGCTATAATTTAATGAGTACTTCAGTTGTTACATAGAAAAACTCTCTGCAAGACTCAAGAGGATTTTCTCCAAACAGAAAATCCCAGTACATTTAAAACCAAACAAGGCCCTTAGACAAAGGCTGGTGCATCCCAAAGACCAAACCCCCAGACGCATGGCTCAACACAGATGGACTACCTCCTCCTGACAAGAACCTGCTGTCCACCTACACCTTAATTAAGGACAAAGGACATTTGTTTGAGGATCAGAATGTTCACATTTTACACAAAGAAGACAGGTGGTTTGAGATGGGTGTGTAGGAAGCCATTTATGTTAAGAGAGAAAAGCCAACCTTAAACAGAGGGGTTGGTCTCAGGTTCCAGCTCTATAAAAACCTACAATGCAGCGATAGAGTTGATTACTTCCCGCTATCATCTCAATCCTCATCGCCATGCAGGCGACCAGAACATCTCGCCTGATTAGCCAGGCCAACAACAACCTCAACAACTTGCCATTACAAAGGGGTGGACCTGTTCTTTCTGTTCAATGTGCATGTTTACTTAGCCACAACAAGGCTATTGTTTGGTTACTCTATAAGCCAGGAACCCAATGCTACTTCAGACATCTTGAACTGAGGAAGCTTTGCGGATGGGAAGCGAAAAGTCTTCAAACTAGGAAAACAAAGTCCAGTGGTTTATTTTTTTAATTTTATTGGAATGACTATGACCTGGATGACAGAGAATCTTCACCAGCATACATAAAAAAAAAAAAAATCTTGAAATATGAAACAAAACAGGGGTGAAACAATTAAACGTTATTAGTCGATTATTTAATTGATCGTCAACTAATTTAGTAAAAATGGTAAATGGCCTGTATTTAAATATTGTGCTTTTTTTGACCAGTTGCCCCGGGGCTCACTGACAGAAAGAAGCGAGGCTGCCATACACTGGCGCCATCGGGCCCTCTGACCACCATACGATTAATTTAGTGATCTATTAATAGTTAACTGGAGTCCGTAATAGCAGCAGAACGATAGTTAATGTTATCGGAAAATGACGAAATACAGCATGGTTTATTCTGGGCACTAATTGTCAGCTCAAAGAGGTGACAATTACAGGCCAGAGATTAGTTTAACAATTTCACTATATCCATCTCTCTTATTGTGTATGTATTTGTGTGCACAGGTGGTCTCTCAGACAGTGAACCTGGTGGATCTGTCCTGCTATAGCCTGGAAACGGTGCCTGAATATCTGTTTTACTGTCAGGATCTCACTCACCTCAACCTGCGGCACAACTTTATGAGGTTGCAGGGACCTGGAAGCCTACTCAACCTTCCCAGGTAACCAATCATCGACCATCACAGCTTTTATAGTCAACCAGAGTGGATCCATCATGTGCAACATGGCACGTTTCTGAAGCGTCCTAGACGCGCCAGCTCCTGATATAGGTGGCTATTCAGTTTTTGTTGCTTGCTGCTCCAACTCTACATCAATTAGAGTAGAGCGGTAGTTGATGAGAAACGAAGTGGGTCCTGTCAAGTTTACAAGTTAAAGACAATATGTGTAATTTGTTATTTTTTTGTAATCCTGTTCATACAGTAACATAAGAATGATTAGCATTAAATAAAAAAAACAACAACATAGAAATAGATTGATCCAGATAAAAAATATATGATTATATAAGAGCAGGCAAAATAAACACTTATTCTCTTTAAAGCCTACAAGTACACTACTGTAGCGTGATGATACAAGGAATAGGATGTATGTGCCGCTTCCACATCCAGTGGAAACCAGGAAGTAATATCCATAAATTTTATATTAGATGTTTAGACTTTCCAGGTGGAGAAACCAGCATTATAATTATTGTTTTACCAAAGTACTATATATTTAAGCACAGTTCATCTTAAACCTTTTTGGAAGTACCAACATAGTTTAGATTTAGTTTTAACAGATACCACCTTAGAAAAAAGCTTGTAGCTTGTTTTGCATATTTGCATATCTGCCAACTAATTTCCTTTTACTCCTATATGTGATGGTATCCATGTAAAAATAACTATTAAACCCATTGCTTGAATTCTATAAATTAAAAATTAAATCTCTAATACAAGGTCTGGTCTATTGATAGAATGATTATTTTGTTATTGAATATAATGAACTGCAATCAGAACATATTATATGTCTTAAAGGACGAACTTCCTCAATCCATCCTAAAGCCAAAACGATTCCCATCATCTCTCCTGCATAAACTGATACTCCATCAGTAATTCTTTTACATTTTTAATACTGAATTCTGGATCAATGAATGACACCCCACTATTGCTATTTGAATTTTTTAAGCATCTATATAAACTTGGACATATCCACAGTACTTATTGTCTAAATAAATTTGTACTGAAATTGGATCTAACAGGTTTTCTTTTTTCCCTTTCTCCAACAAAGTAAAATAAACAACACTATTAGGAAATATAGACGGACGATCTGGTGAAAGAGGAACTGTTTGACTGATATTTCTCTAAGCTAAATCAAAGTCTTTTATAAAGTTTTCTATCTTCCAACCTAAATAATTAAAATTCTTTTTTTTCCTTCTTCCCAACTAGGTTTTAAAATTCCTTAACATAGATGATTTCCATTATGGCCCTTTAAATGACACCAATAAGATGTCTTTAACTGTAATCTTCTGAACTGAAGTGGAAGCTCTCTCATTTCTACTAGTAAAGTTGACGTTGGAGTTGTTCTGACGGCTTCTGTACATAACCTCAAGGCTTGATCATGATTATTATCAAATTTTTTGAGTAGTGTATCTGATGCTGATCCAAAAGTGATAATACCATAATCAAATACAGACCTTATTAAACCAGTATATATTGCTTTCATTGCTTTCCTTTCTGCACCTGACTTAATCCCACCAAATACCTCATTACATTTAAAACTCTCTTACACTTATCCACTATGTTTTGAATATTAATTTTCCAAGTTAATTTTTCATCCAACCATTATCCCAATAACTGAAATTCCTTTACTCTTTCTAATTCATGATTATATATTTGCAATTTTAACATTTCAGATACTTTCTTCTTTGTAAAAAATAAAATCTTTCTTTTGTTTATAGAAATTTTAAATACCCATTTAAAAGACTAATATTCTATATTGTTAATTGTCTCTTGTATATTTTTAACAATGAAATCTACATTTTTCAAATAAAGAAAACCCAATTCCACTCTCCAAATAGTCAAACATATCATTAATCATAATAGAAAAAAACAAAGGACTCACCATTTTCGACAAAAAACCTTTCTGATAAATGATGTCCTATGCTTACTTGTATAGATCTCTCTTAAAAAAATCTTTTATCCAATAAGACAGTGATCCACTAATTCACATTTTTTTCAACTTAATTAAAAAAACCTTCTTTCCACATCATATCATAAGCTTTCTCTATATCAGAGAAAACAGCCACCACACTCTCATTATTAACTTGCCCTTTTCTAATTTCATGTTCTAAACAAAGAATAGGATCCATAGTGCTTCTACCTTTTCTAAATCCGCTTTGAAATTTTGATAAATATCCCCTCTTCTCAACAAAATAGCTCAATCTTTCATTAATCATTCTCTCCATTATTTTACATATATGTGAAACATGTGTAACTCCAAAGATAAATCCTTCACAGCTAAAAAAAATTTTGGCACCTCTCACTATAATATTGATTTTTTCAGTTTTCTGCTTTACTTGGTCAGTACAATTGATAACATATGCAATGAATAAAATTAAATTATCCATTGTGATTTTTATTCCTGCCATTGTTCTTTGACTGGGCCCAGGACTTGGACAAGAAGACACTTCTTGACTTTTCTGAACTGTTATTTCTTCTTCAATACTGTTCGCTGCTTCTGCATAAGTAATGCTTTTTAACTGTTTTCAGCTGTTCTGCTGCATTTTCCCTTACTTCACAGCCTCCATATGCTACATTATGCTGACCACCACAGTTACAACATTTCAGCTGTACATCTGCTCCACATTCATCATAACAATGATCTCCACCACATTTAGTCTTTTAGTCATCTTTGCTTCCCTTCACACACTGATGCAACGTGACCATACCTTTGACATTTGAAACAGCGCAAAGGGGGATTTTTTACCTTATCAGGAAGAGCACCACCTGGAAACTCTGGAAATATGAAAGACTCTGTTTTTTCCCCTTTCACAGAATTTAACAATATTTAAAGGATGCACAGATATTCCCTTTATATATCATAATATTTGTTTTTCTAAGTCTTCCTCGAGTGGAATACCAGTGATTACACCACCTGATACTCTTATTTACCCCTACAACTTTCCTTTCACGCACAACTATTTGCAAATGTTATCAATCTGTATGCTTTTTTTCTTTTTTTCCTCAGATTTACATTTTATCTACATGCTTCCATCTCGCAAGATTTTAACAAACTCCAGCTCCCCTAGTTTCTATTTTATTTCTCTTGAAACTGCTATCGTACTTGGATTTGTTCACATAAAGGAACATAAATCTAATCTTCCTGAATTTAATTATTACCTTAAATTCCTCATTTATCACTTTCCTCCTCACCATTCTGTTTTCTTCCTCTGAACTACACTCTTCTAAACTTCTCTTACTATTTTGGCTACCAATCTCTCTATCATCTTTCAGGTTTTGTTCCTTACCTCTACCTCTCCCTCTAATCCATTCATCAAAATCCATATCATCATCATAATCATCATCATCATCATCATCATCATCATCATCATCATCATCATCATCATCATCATCATCATCATCATCATCATCATCATCATCATCACCACTCCATCTACCTTGGTTGTCATCCTAACCCAGTCACACCCCAGTTTATTCCAACCGTCAAAACAACACAAAACAAACCCTTCTCAAAGGCACTGCCGAAGAGCTCAACGATCCTGCTGCTGTCACTGCACCCCCCCTTTGACAATCGACCAATCACATTCACCATATTCACTCGTGTAAAGTCGGGCACCACTCGGGAGAATTTGGAATTGCAACGATTTGAACAGACTTTATTTGTTATACTAGCAAGATGATAAAAATGATTCTGATTTTTGACAAAGTGGGAGAAATGTCACTTTTCATGTTATAACCATATAGTCATAGAACAAGTGGTGTGATAAATGATTTACTGGCTTTTATGAATTGGCAGACTCCAGTGAGTCTGTTGTTTCTGGGGCTGCTGCTGGCAGCTCTTTGGAAGGCATGTGGATCAAACTACCTTGGTTACCTGTTCCCAGTTTATTATCCTCTGATTCTTAAACATTTCTCCACTAGACTGATGAAACAAACATCACTGATCTTGAGCAATTACTTGTATTACATTTCTGTATTCAGTTGCTTATTGACCTGGCAATTACTTCTGTCAAAATGTCTTCTAAGTTGCATAGAACACAGCCAGAGGATCATCAGTATTTAAGCAATTGTTTGAGAATCTATTATTTTAGCAGGCCATTAGCCATCCGCTATAAAAAAAAAAACAATCTAAGTTGAAAGTATAGACCACCTTTTTCTGTTTACCACCCTCAATGACCCCACCCCCCCAGCCCAGAAAATTATGTTTCCCACTGTGTTTTTGATGAAAACAAAGCAAGTTTTTTAACTTCTTTTTTTCTATGAAATATTCTCATTAGCAGCATCTTAACTTCTAGATCAGCAGCGTGTAACTCCTGCTATCCTACCCTGCATTATTGCCTTCCTATAGTTCCTATAGCATTACTCTGTTTATTTTATCTATATCTCTCTATGTGTGCCATATATAGAGGTTAATATTCTATCTGATCTGCAAAGTCAATAGAAAAGTATTCTTTCTTTGCTTTTTCATTTTAATTCTGCCTTTACTGTGTAGCAAAAGCATGTTTAACTTGGTAAATGATCTCATCAAAGTACAGATGGAGAAAAAAGAAATACAGACATTTTTAAGGCCATACACTTTTTTGTTTTTTTGTTTTTCTCCTTAGGTTTTCCCAGCTGAAGAGTCTGAATATATCACATAACCGTCTGGGTGTGTTCCCCGAGTGCGTGTGTGAGATCCTCACCCTAACTGAACTTAACCTCTCCTGCAACAATATGCACACCATCCCTGTTCAGATTGGAAACCTTCAGAGGTTAGAGACACATCCACAGCACATATGGCATGGTGAAGCACAATATATGATTTGCATTGTTAACAGTACAAAATACTGTATATTACACAAAAGAAACAATTTAAATCAATTTTATTGCAAAATATTGCAAAGCCTGCGAACCTTTTGAACCGAAATTATTCAGTAATTAGTAGAACAGGTTGTAAATATTTTTGGTTTTTGGACCCTTTATCTGACTCTTTTGAATCAAATGAAATATTTTTGGCTGTGGAAAAATTATTTAGTATCACTTTTCTTTCTTTGTTTTTTGTTTCTTTCCTTTTCTTTCTTTGTTACTTTCATTCTTTTTTGTTTATTTGTTTGTTTCTTTCTTTGTTTCTCTTTTTCTTTGTTTTTTTTCTTTCCTTCCTTCCACTTCTCTCCTCAGCTTTAAAAGCAAGTAAATGAAATGTTTGTCTTTGTTGTTTTTATCCTTCTGGAGTGACGTTTTAACAACAGCTAAAGTATAAACACACTGACAGAATGGTTTAAAACAGTTTTGCCAAAATTCTCAGTTATTTTTTCCGATCAAAAAGATCTTTCCAACAAAAGAGGGCAAATACATTTAGGGTGTTGTTGCTTTGCAGAAAAAAAAAAAAAGATCTTTCGGACAAAAGATCTTTTTGTTTTTTGCAAAGCAACAACACCCTAAATGTATTTGCCCTCTTGGAATCACAAATTTATGTTTGGTTTTTTTTAAACAGACCCCTTGCCACTTCATCTGCTCACTATACTGACAACCATTTATCCCAAATACAAATGACCCTGTAACTCTCTATACTAAAACAAAGAAAAAATACTGTTTTATCCTTTCCATAGCCTGCAAACACTATCCTTGGATGGAAACAACCTAAGCTCTCTACCTGAACAGCTTGGTGATCTCTCTCAACTAAACAGTCTGGGACTCTCCTTCAACAACTTCTCTCAAATCCCTGCTGTGCTGGAGAGACTATATGCTGTGGATAAACTAGCAATGGCTGGGAACAGAGTGGCATCCTTGGAGCTGTCCACACTGGTCAGAATGATCCACCTTAGAAACATCGACCTCAGGTAGGTTCTTTGTATGTCTCTACATTCCTCTCTTGTCTCTGCACCACCACTGTTATGTGGCTTATTTTTACATCAGTACATGATATATAAAGGGAATATCTGCGCATCCTTTAAATAGTAATTTCTTTTATTTATTTTTATTTTCATATTGATGATAGAAAATTAACATGCTGTTACAAACTCCAGCCTAAACCACAGCTGCTACTGCATTGCTCACAGCTCTTCCAAGCCTTTTTTTAAACTAACATTTATTTATATATGCCAGATGTGCTTTGAACAAATGCCTTTTACTGCATTGCCCAATTTCACGCCTACATTCACACCTGGGAGATGTCAACCACAGCTTTTTTTTTCTCTGTTTCCTGCTGTTCTGCAAATAAACAGTTGAATACTAAGTACTTTGCTTGCTAGAACCTCTGTGCCAGACAACAAGGAGGCAAAAGCTATTCTCAGGGAATATCCTATAGCTCTGGGGATTTAACCATCAACCAGCAGTCCAGCCGCAGCTAGATAATGACTTAACCTTGGGGCTTGTGCTGTGGTTAGACCCCAGTGGGCTGCATTTATAGGGACAAAGTTGCAATATAATAGATTAGTGGGCTGGCAACTCCCATAAAAGACAACTCGTCCTTTATTAATTTGAGCTATGGGATCTACAGAGAGCCTTGTTTTGAGCAGGGCGCCTTACCTGCTAGCCATGCACACATCTCTCCTCTGTGTTTGTCTTCTCTAAAATCATCATAACATTATGACTATCAACCAAGCATTTAGCTCGTTTTTACAGCTAAAACAGACTTGACCTGCATAGCATAAACTTTTGTGGACTAGAGGTAATATTCACCTAATTTTGCTCCTTTATGATGTTCCTGCTAAGATTAAATTTGTTTCCAACAATGAGTTTGTCCTTCTATCCACTGAATGCAGGCTGAATGGGCTCCGGTGGGTTAAATGCGAAACCTCAGATCCAGTGAACCATGTGACCCATCTGGACTTGCGGGATAACTGCTTGGACTCGCTTGACCTAAACCCTGTCTGCAACCTGGAGACCCTGCACTGTCAACGGAACCGGCTGGGAACACTCAGCCTCAGTGGTTTCTCACTGCGCATGCTTCATGCCAGCAGCAACCGTGAGTCAATCATAGCGCCAGCTGACTACTATTAATACCTCCCTCTATGTTCAGGGCCTTTGCCGTGACGATGCATTCAGTTCATCAAACCACAATAAAACAAAAATGGTGCAGATGTTTCCCTGCTTATGATCGATATCCTTATTTTCCTGCAGGCCTTACAACTGTCAACATCTATCCAGTACCGAACCAGCTGACACACATGGACCTTTCACAGTGAGTTCTACACAGGAATAAAGGTGGATTTGGAGTAGCAGGGATTTTCCAAAAGGCTCTTATGTAATAATAATACTAGTACTTATTGATTTTATTTTCACTTATTGCAGTTGCACTGCATTTATTGTGGAAATTATATTTATAAGAATATTCAGGGAATATTTTGGATATATATATATATATATATATATATATATATATATATATATATATATATATATATACATATATATTTTTTTTTTGGTCTAAAATGCCCCAACTTCCACGTAATATTCTGTATTTTTAACATATAAAATTGTTATTTTGACTAAAAATCTAATTTGCTTTAGATTTTTAGTGAAAATAATAATGTTTAAAATATAGCCTCGACTCTCTTAGACCATGTCATATGTGTTTGTTTTACTTTGAAATTTTAGAGAGCTTCTTTTTGAAACTGTGATGCTTTAAGATAAGATTAAATTAATTCATAATTTTATAATCTTAGCTTTAAAAGCCTGTTAAAATTAACCATATTGGTTACATTTATGGGAAAACACATAACACCATAGAAGTAGTGTTTGCTAATGTCTATGGTAATGCTACAGTGAGCGGCTAAAGGCCCATTCATACCTCACGTAAAAGACGGATACGGATACGTGTGGAGTGTTTCATACGTTCTAACCGTCGATTTCGTCCGTACTTTGACACGAAAATTGGGAGCTTACGCTTACGAACGAAACGGATCAATACGGAGCAATACTACCGGAAACGGTGGGGGCGCTATTGAGTTTTTAGTACAAAATGTCAACAGAATCAGGTCTTGGACCATCGCCATGTTTTGATCAATGACGAATCATTGGCGCCCAGCATTGCCACCTAGAGGAAATACGGGTTATTGCGCACCTCAACGGACGGAGGTATGAAGGACTCAACGGATAGAACGTACGGACAGAAATACGGACGTGCAGGCCAAACGTGAGGTATGAATGGGCCTTAAGTCGTTAAAATGTTGCGCATTGTCACCAATGGGTTGTTGGAACTCTCCTATTCCAATGGCTCTGCTTTAGTCTGCAAACAGATCAAGGCAAAATAACATTTTAATAAATAGCATAACCTTTGGATTTTTCTCTCAAACTTAAATCAGTTTAACTCATTGCATTATTAAAGATGTTGTCATTAACTAAAACCTGTAACTGTTGCTCATATTTAAAAAAGTAACTTTAATATTAATAAAACCTCTACTTTCGGAAAAATATTTAAAACCAATTGACATGAATAGGGCATTATTTACACATGGCATAAACATCAGGTGCTTATTAAATGATAAATTTATTAGATTTGGATAAACGATCCTGCCGATAACACTGTTATTTTCAAACATGTTAAACATATTTAGAATGTTTTATTTAAAAAGTCAAGTGTGTAAAAGTTGTATTTTTAGTAAATAAGTAAAATATTTTTAAAAGGGAGTCCTTATGTAGAGAAAACATTTTGCCTAATTTAAATATAAAAGTATTTACTGATGAATTTTCACCACTGTTGCTACTTGAGAGGAAAAAGGGAGTCGTTATTTGTTATACTTATATATTTGCATTCCTATTGGATAAATCATAATTTCAAATTTCTTATTATTTCCAAAAATATGACGATATGTATCATGATTATGACCTGAAAGGTTAAAATGTAGTACTTATTTAGTACTTCACCAACTATCTAGTACTAGCAGCTATGTTTAGTATTACAGAAAAGTGACTTTTACTGAGCTGCAAAGTTTTTTGTTTTAGTAGATTGCTTTGCTAGATTTACATTTTTATATAACATTCTATCAGTTCAGAGGATTTTCAGATGTGGTTTAATTATCTTTTGTCTTTCAAACCATTATTGCACTAGCAATGTTGCATAACGACCAGATATAGAAAGTTGAAGCTGTCTCAAAAAAAGGCAGGAAATGTTATACAGACATAAAATCAAACTAAATCCCAGTGGCCTGTTTATAATTCTGGAAATAAGAATGTTAGGAGTAGAATACATCAAAATGCCAGCTTTCCTCACTCTGAGTGTCTGTGTGTATCTTTTATGTGTGTTGAGACAGGAATCTGTTGGAATATCTTCCAGACTGGGTATGTGACTGTCAAAAAATCGAGATGCTGGGAGTTTCGCAAAACCTGTTGTCTGAACTTCCATCCAGGTTAGAAAGTTTATTTTACATTTTTAAACCTTAAAAGTGCAAGAACAGTGATAAACTTTCAATGTTGATCATAATTTTCAATCATTTAGCTTTTTTAACCTTCAGTATAACATCGTTTTAAGACATATATCATGTTTATTTTCATACTTTTCTGGATAAAAGAATTCACTTGGGTTGTAAAAAATAGACACAAAAGTTTTTTGTTTTTTTGGTGCATAAAACCCCGCTTTGCTGCTCCTTACATTTACGATTTATTGTTGAAGCATTATTTGATTTTTTTAATTGTTTTTTTAATTTCCTTTTTGGCTGATGTTGAGACTTATGTAACATTTGTTTTTATTGTCATTTCTATCATGTAAATAGAGGAAGAAAAATAAATATTTGCTTGAAGAATCAGCCAAAAATATCGGCAGCAAATGTTGGGCATCAGTTAGACTAATGTCAAAATATTCTGTATCAGCAACAGCCTTAAAGAAAACTGTATCGTTTGATCTCTATTCCAAATTCTTCACAGGGCCCTACAAGGGTTGACATTTCTTCTCAGTAAAAGAAGCATGACCATCCTGAAATGCTTTAGACTGAATGATATTAAGGACAGATTGAATGGGTAGTGTGCTCATTTGAAGGTGAATATTTCTTTATCCTGATTTCACTCTGCAATTTCTTTAATAGATTGTTGAACAGCTTGAGTTTGAGAAAGCTGCTGGCGGGGAACAACCACTTGCAGAGAGTGCCTGACCTCCTTGACCATATCCCTCTGGAAGCCCTTGACCTGCAACATAACAAGCTTGTGGGTCTTCCAGAGACTCTCTTCTGCAAGGCCTTAAAGTTAGTGTCCCAACCTTTGAAGTCTTTTTTATTATGCTTTTCTATAATTCTTCATCCACAGGTTCCACAAGCTGTCTGTTCGTATGTTTCTGTGGACTGTTACTGTAACACAGTCCATAATGATTTTATGGAGAGAACGTGGTCGAGATCAATGCAGCATTCCCACTATAACTGGAGCATCCTGTGCTTCCTTGTTTCCTGCGTGGTAAACCACTTAGCACCCATTAGCTGTTGAAAATCTCTGATGCACTTTATTGTCTCTAATGTGGAGACTTAATGGCAGCGACTTCTGAAAAAAAAAATCTATACATTTTCTCTTAAAACTGTACATGCAGTGAACCAGAGTTGGTATCAGCACTGATGGGGGGTAATTGAAACTCAGAAGATTATCACTATTTATTTTACTTATGCAGTAAAGAGCCACACAGCTAGCAAGATCTTAACAAGCTTTTAACCTTTATTGGCTGCTCCTCACCAAAGTCTGTTTGAAATCATGACAATAATCATACTTTACTGCTTCAAGTTTTATTACTGCTCAGTGAGTGATACACACCAGTAATGATTTTATAACGCCCATTACGTAAGAACTACTGTGATTCAAATTACTGCCACCCTTCTCCGCAGCTTAATGGATATGCAAATCAGTCCTCAGCTCGGTAGGATGTTTACCTCTGTGATTAACTGGATTCTCTGCAGAAAATGATAAATATTAAGAAGGAAATGATAAGACTTGAAAGCTATGTGAACCCTAAGTTGTCACCCTGAATGCTGTCGAGGAAAAGGCAATATTTTCCCTTCAGATTTTAATAGTTCCTGCTGCACTTTTCATCTTTATGTGAAAGTATTTGCATTTTAGCTTTTACTTCTAGTTTAGTCAAGTATTTCTGATAATGATTAATATATTGTTTGTGCTTGTTTTCCTTTCTAGCCTGAAATACTTAAACGTGTCAGCCAATGCCTTAGAAAGTATTCCCCCCAGCAGCCAATCAGAGGAGAGCCTCAGCACGCTCCAGGAGCTCTACCTGACTGGGAACAATCTGAATGAGAACTGTGGTGCTCTGTTAGTCGGACACCAGAACCTGCGGATCCTTCACATTGCCTACAATCAACTGCTCTCCTTCCCTGCCAGGTTTGTTAACTAAGATCGTGAATCTTTTTTTTAGATAGTCTAACATCCCAATGACTGGAATAAATTTGTTAATATAACTTCTTGCTTGTACCATTTTTTTCACCATTTTATGTGTTTGGATTGTGTTTTAATGCATAACTCTTGTTTCCAGTAAGCTGAGTAAACTGGAGCTGCTGGAGGAGCTAAATGTAAGTGGGAACAAGCTAAAGACGATCCCCTCCACCGTTTCCAGCTGTAAGAGGCTCCACACTCTCATAGCACACTCAAATCAAATAACAGTCTTTCCAGAGATCCTCAACCTGCCTGAGATCAAGGTTAGATTTTTGCCTCTGTTGTTGGCTACACAAACCACACAGTTATCTGCCTCATGTGTGATCTGGATGTTTTTACATGCAGCTTGTAGATCTGAGCTGCAATGAACTGACTGAGATTCAACTACCTGACTCTCTGCCTGCTACTCTGCAAGAGTTGGACCTGACGGGCAACAGCAGCCTCACGCTGGAACACAAAACCCTCAACCTTTTCAGGTGAGCGTCCATGACTGCTCAGAACATTTTTCTAGTTGTAAAATCCTAAAATTATGACTATCTATGCAGCTTTGAAGAGCTAGTCTTAATAACAAAATAGAACATTTCTCTAGGGAAGAAAGAATAAGGGAAGGAAGTTTCTCATTAAACACAAATATGAACATTAGAAAAAAAGACATAAAAAATGTATAGCACAATTCAGCACATAGGCAATTTAAACTGCTTTACACTAATTAAAGAGTAAAATAAAAACAGATTAAAAAGAAGTAGTAAAGCAAAAAAAAAAAAAAAAAACAGCATCACAACCTTAAACTATTAACACCTCACCTTAGCAGTTTAACTTCAACAGTCAAAGGCAGCTGTAAACAAATGGGTTTTTAACTTTGATTTAAAAGAACTCAGGCTTTCCGCACTTTTACAGTCTTCTGGGAGGTTGTTCCAGATAATTGGAGCATATGAACTAAATGCTGCTTCTCCGTTTTTTAGTTCTGGGTGCACAGAGTATGCTTGAACAAGAAGACCTGAGCGGTCTGGGAGGTTTATACACTGAAAACATATCTATAATGTATTTTAGTGCTGAACCATTCAGTGATTTATAGACTAACAGAAGCATTTTAAAGTCTATTCTCTGAGCAACAGGGAGGCAGTGTTAGGACTTCAGAACTGGGTTGATGTGCTCTACTTTCTTAGTTCTAGTGAGAACACAAGCAACACCATTTGGATCAACTGCAGCTGCCTGATGGACTTTTTAGGCAAACCTATGAATAAACTGTTGCAGTAATAAATCCTATCAAAGATACATTTAGGGGGTGCGAGGATGGTGCAGGGTTAAGCCTGTGACCCATGTGCAGAGGCTTTAGTCCTCAAAGTGGCCATCACAAGTACGAATCCTGACCTGGTGACCTTTGTGTCATGTTTCCCATCTCTCTCTAATCCCATTTCCTGTCTGCCTACTAAATTTCAGATGTTATCAGTGGTTTCTAGCTGTACTGTAATAGCTGAAGCTAAATTAACTTTAGATCCATCCTACTTTGGTCCGAAGATTTTTTACCTCTGTTTTGTTTTGATTCCGTTGTAGAAAATTAAGGCACATCCACATAATGATCTGTTCTATCCAACATTCTGATGGGTTCATAGTCACCTGGTGGGGTTCATAGTCACCTGGTGTAAAGCTTTGTGTCATCTGCATAGTTATGGTAGCTGATCTTGTTTGCTATAATCTCAGCCAAGAGGAGCATGTAGATGTTGAATAGGAGGGGCCCCAGAATGGAGCCTTGAGGAACCCTGCCTGTGATTTTTCTAGTCTCTGAATTAAAGTTCCCTACTGATACATAAAAGTTCCTGTCCTTCAGGTAGGATTTAAACCAGTCCAGAGCGGTATCAAAAAGGCTGACCCAGTTTTCTAGACGCGCTAATAAAATCAAGTGATCAACAGTATCAAACGCTGCACTGAGGTCCAATATTACCAGAACATTGGTTCAATTAAATTTCTATCAACACTTTTTTTTTAGGTTTTCATGTGTTTTATAACCACCTTGTTCTACATTGTCTCTGTGTTTTCTTGTTTCTTCAGTCACATTTCCACTCTAAAATTAGACCAGAAATCCGCCCCAACACCTGCAGACTCCCTGGGCCCCTCGACTCTCTGGAAGCACGGTTACTCTGAGATGAAAGGACAAAGGAATAAGTGTGTTCTCCTTTCATTTTTTGTATGATTAATTTTCAGTGGAGGTTAAAACTTTTTAGGTAATATTTATCATCATATAAGAAATTACATCATTGCATCACTGTAGAATGTAAGTAAGCCTGATTTAATGAAGGATGCAAGGGCAGATGCATTCAAATTTTATTACCCCTCATGCACACACATTAAATCTCAAGATTCATCATTTGTTGTGAATTACCTCATTATTAGCTAATTCTGATTAGGTGCACTTTAAATAATGTACAGCAATGTGCAAAAATGTTAAGAATTTACCCTCATTTTTTCTTTTTTTCATAGAAGGTTAACATATTTGTTGATATGTAGTATTTGATCAACGGATGCCAAAACAATAGACCATTTCATTACAAAATTATGGAATTAATACACACAACAGAACAATAATACACCCAACCCATTAACGATTTTTTTTTTCTTGCAAGTAGAACCATTATAATTATAGGCCTGTGTTTTTACATCATTCCATTCATATTGAGGAACCAAAGGGGCATAAATTACAACTCGCAGCATTGCTGACGATTTTCTATGGCAGTTGTGGATTCCCCAAAGGTCTTTGGTGCAGTTGCCAATCATCCCTTAGGCTGTTAAGATCGATACAAGCCTTTTTTAGATCAGGGAGGAGCTGCAGGAAGTAACAACCTGTAACTGCTAAAAAAACAACCTGAAACTACACAATTAAAAAAAGCAAAGAACAGACAAATATGGTCAGAGTGTGATCCATGTTGGGTTGTTGAGGAATTAACTTTTGAATCGGAATTAGTGCTTGGACTTAATCTGTTTCATGAAATGCTGTACTGCCAGATGTGTGGAATTTACATAGGACATTTATTCATCTCTTTGTGAGTGTGAATCTGTTTGTGTTGAACAGGTTGTGTGTTTCTGTGCTTGCTGTGGACTGTTTTGGAGACAGTGGTGAAGGCTGCTATGGTATCTTTGATGGTGACCGCAACGAGGAGGTACCGCGGCTCTTGCAGTGCACCATGGGAGATGTCCTTTGTGAAGAGCTACAGCACTCCAGTACTGACTCAGTGTATATGTGCAACACCTTTCTTACTTCACACAGGTAGGACAAAGAATATGGCTAATGTGTTTTTTTCTTTTATAGACCAAGTTACTAAGTGTTTTCTTCTTGCTGAACAGGAAATTGGGCATGGCTGGACAAAAACTAGGTGCTTCTGCCTTGTTGTGTTACATTCACCGTGAGCAATCCGAATCTGGGGGTTGCTTTAGCCTTACTCTGGCCAACGTGGGAACGTGCCAGGCAGTTCTGTGCCGTGATGGACGGCCTGTACAGCTCTCAAACGTTTTCAGCTTGGAGAGCTCTACTGAGGAAATGGAGAGGGTTAAAGTCAATAAGGCCATTATAACAGAGGTAATACTCCCATTAAATGTAATAGCTGTAAATTCTATATGTGAAGATGTGATACAACATCCTGTGGCATCATTTCTCTTCTAGGATAACAAAGTGAGTGGAGTAACATACTGCTCCCGCCTGTTGGGCTGCTCATATCTGTCTCCCTGGGTGCTACCAAAACCTTGGGTGCACACTGAGCCACTCTGTGCCAAGGATGAGTTCCTGATCCTGGGTAACCGGGCCCTTTTTGAGAGGGTGTCTTATAAGGAGGCTGTTCACACAGTGCAGGCTGTGAGAGATCCATGTGCTGCTGCCAAAAAACTGTGTTCTCTTGCCCAGAGTTATGGCTGCAAGGACAACATCGGTGCCGTGGTGGTGTCACTGCATGTTGGTGAGGACAGCTGCACTTGTGAGCAGCCGGTGCTGAGCGATGAACTGCGGGGTCCACCCCCTGCCCCTGTGCCAGTGTCTGTGACCACTTGCCCCAGTGATCCAGGTAACCTCTCATCAAGCAGTGGCATCGGTACTGAGCTCAGCAGTGAGACATCAGCCTCAGAAGTGGGCAGTGAGGCCGGGTCTACCGCTTCAGATGAGCACCCATCCTCTGGTTCTGCATCTCGCCCAGAGAGGCGCTGCAGCGTCCACCCCGCTCCTACGCTCTGTGGGATCATGGTGCCAGGTTCAGCTGCAACAGGAACCCATCCTGGTGTTTTCCAGCGCCAGCCCTCCAGTGCTACATTCTCAAGCAACCAGTCTGACAATGGCTTGGACAGTGATGATGAAGCTCCCCTTGAGGGTGTCATCTCTAATGGTAGCAAATTAGAGGTGGAGGTAGACATTCACTGCTGTGCTTTCCAACTTCGGTCAGGGCCCACTGAGACCCCCAAAGAACTGAATCTCGAAAATCACGATAGTAAAATGCGCAGACAGAACAGCGTGGTGGTTTCTGCTACGAACGGCTGTCTGCTGGCTGTATGTGGGAGGGAAAATGGAGACCTCAAGAAGTCACCTTCCACATCCAGCCTGTTTGGTAAAAAGCTATCCAATGGATCTGTGGTGGCCCTGGAGGACAGTCATAACATAATTGAGGTGGCCCTGGAAGCGCCTAAGAAAAAATCTGGCTACTTCACTGCCCCAGCTCAGCAGGACCCAGAGGATCAACTAATTGTGCCTCCTGGTCTTGAGCAGGAGGTCAGGGAGCAACTGAAAGGCCAGAGTCTTCTTGTCTCAGGTATCTCCACACCTCCAAAGCTCACTTGTGGAAAAGATCCACTGTGGGATCAAACACACCCTCAGCCATTTGCCTCCAGCTTTGTTCCAGTGCCAGGACTTGGTACCATTCTGCAACAGGAAGTCTATGATACAGCCCTCTAGGACACTGGAGCAGCCCTTTGGCCTCAGTTTGGATTGTGCCATTTTGGGGATAAGGAACTATCTCCCACAGCCGGTATAGTTGGAAAATGTTGCCATTTAAATCTTTTTTTTTTGAAAGACAAGAAAAAGCCTTTAGAACTTTGTCAATAACTTGTACTGTGCCATTAGAGATAAACGGAATATGCTCTTAGTATTCATGACAATAGGGCTGAACAAGATTTCCACATGTCCAATATGTCAACAGCATTTCCCTTTACTTCAAAAGCTAAGCAGTTTGTAGGGTACAGAGAACATTGTGGTCATCCTTCAATTCAGGAACCCAAAGGTGTCTCAGGTCCTGCGGAGATGGATTAGTGTTCAAGCTTGAAAAAGTGCCTATTACGAACGACACATCAGAGAGTTCAATGCATCCAGGTTAAGTGTTGGGTTGAGAGCATGTTTTAGTTACATTTAGACAGGGCAGAGTCTTTCCAAACACTCAACAATTATTGACATATTTTTATTGCTATTAAAGCTTGGCCTGTTGTTGTCTTTAATTAGCTCAGAGAAATATATTGAAAACATTACTTTTTATCTCACCCAAATATAGCCTAACAAAGTGAAAGTAAAGTAATGTTTAACCCCAAAGCTCATGTTTAGATCTTTTCACAGATTATTCTGTGCACCACAGATTCATATTGTCTGAACAGGAAGTGTTTGCCTAGTGGTTAGAGCAGTGCACTTGTGCTTTGAGAAGGGTGCCAGTAGCTGGTTCGATCCCCACAGCCTTCACTCTGGGTCTCTGAGCAAGATTCTTAACCCCCACATTGCTCCCCGGCGCGCCGCACAATGGCAGCCCTCTGCTCCCCAAGGGGATGGGTTAAAGGCAGAGAGTTAGTTTCTCCAGTCTGAGATCAATAAAGTTCAATTATTATAAAGTAATATCATAATTTCCACATTTCTTCTGTATAAATCTGTCAAACTAGGATCTAGAAATAAAACTAGTGGGTTAATCTCTTCACACATAAGTAAGTTTATATAGAGATTACCCTATGATAATGAACTAATTGTTTAGGTTATATTTGTGGTATTTTTCTTACAATTTAAAAGGAAAAATCATATTGTTAATGTTGACCGAAAGGGCAATCATTTTGTCCTTAAATTTGGGGTTTTTTTGTTGTTTTTTTTAGTAACGGAACAAAAAAAATCATGAACATTTGAAGAGAAGAATACATTAGCGGCCATTCAGACTGGCCCTTCGCAGTCAAAAGCCAGCCGAATGGCAGCCCACTTCCCCTCAACTCCTAGCAAAATCGCCTCCAACTTCCAGCCACTAGAGTTACCCCCTTCTTTTCCTGGGCATGAATATTTTTTTACTCTGACTCCACCCTTTTACTGAATTACAGGGTCTGACCAGGAGGAGGCGCTTCTCTTTAGATCTTACTGTCCACAAATCATGACAGAAATAACATTTTAGGACAAAGATTGATGTTTAAAGAGGAATTGTAGGGAACCAGCCAAGGACCAGCCAAGTAACTGCCTGCTTGCTGCTAAAATTACTAATTTTGGCTTTTTTTTCGGAGCAGTTTGGCATTGAAGATTTTTATGGTATCTTTACTGAGTTGAAGTGAAAACATATAAATATTAAACTTATATTTCTATTGATAAAAACAATATTATGACTTTAAGCACATTTTGATCATTAATTTGAACTAATCGTATAGATAATCGTCAGCTTGCAAACATAAAATTATGTTAGATTTGCCCTCTGTTTGAAATCTCTGTTCATGCTAACTTATTTGTAACACTTGAAACATGTTCATTTGCTGACAGTTTATCCTTACTAATGAATATTTGTATATTATATTTTATAGGTACATAAGGAAGAAACCTCAACAAAAGATACATTTTTTTTTTTTTTTTTGCATTGATTAATTTACTGTTTCTTCTTCACCTGAAATTTTAAACCTAGAAGTTGCTTTTCACTTAAGACTGTGTCCAGATTAGGGACATGGGATCTGCCGGCCCACGCTGAGAATTTGGCGGGCATAAACAACCTATAGCTAACTCACTTTCTTTAAATTAACATCTATTAATCAGATCAAATATTGTGGGTTGAACAAAATTCTGAGAATAACTCTACGATCCTTCAGACCATTTTGTAAAGATTACATTTTGGGCTTAGAGACTCATTTTGTTGTGACATAATTCAAGCTGTTTTTTCTTCCTATGTACATTTCCATATGCACTGCATTCCTTCCATTGGTTAATGCTTTATTCGATCTCAGCACACAATGAATAAAATATGGGGGCAACAGAAGTGTATAGGCTATCATAATATCATATGTACTGTTAATACCCATGGCAAAGATGTGATAAAAGCCTTAAAATATTTTTTTTTTCTAAGAGGGAGATATAAGAACTTTTAAGAGGAGACCCTCCTCACTGTTTGGTAAAATAAACATGTTCAAGTCTTGTTTGTCACATTTTAGTTTGTCAGAATAGCTTGTTCTAGGTAGTCTAGAAGTGGAAGGGCAGAGAGTAGGCAATTTAATATAATGGTAATCAACTAAAAAACAAAACTATCTACTAAACTTAGATCTGAAATTTAAAAAGTTTCTATTATATAAGAAAAAAAAATTGCCATGGTTCCCAGTAACTGTGGCACGGGCAATTTTTTAAAACATCCCCTTGTTGTATTTCCCCTTCAAAGTATACATGTAGTTAATACCGTATTTACTGTTTGATTAGTCTTTCTTAAGTTTATATTATTCTGCTGAATGTAATATTTAATTTTTTTAATTTTTACCTGCAATGTTTATAGATCTAAGGGTTGCTATACCCAAGGAAAGAAATCACATTCATATTTATTATATCTAAACTATCAGGGGAAATTCAGTATTGTGCTGCCGTGGAAACCTCAGTGTATCCAGGACTGAATGCCTCCATCTCCCCCTCCTTCTTGAAAGTGAGGCAGCTTAGCTGCTCTCCTAAAGCTCTAATCTTTGGTAACTTATATAGTAAATTATTATAATATTAGTTTTACAGGTTATTTTCTTATTAAACCCAAGCTTCTGTAGTTTTTTTATTTAACATCTCTATTGGAACTGTTGAGACTAAAGCTTTTTTGCCTTAAAGAAAATTCATTTTAGAAATAAGTTCTTTGAGTTGTCCTTCCTTGCTTTGTTTCTCCAAGAATAGAGTAAAAAGGCCAATATTTTCTCTACAAGAAAAGATAAATTTGTCGTTATTTTTACTCCATTTACTAAAACAACATAAGAAGAACAAGCGAACAGGAGCTTCCAAACTAAGGTTTCAAAAGGTCTAAGGAGTTTGTCCATAATAAAATCTCATTTTCTTTTCTGCAAAGTTTTTCAACCTTCAACAAAAGGAACACTATAACCACTTTAGGAAATAGAATGCGCGTTAGTACATTGTGGGATGGCATATCGCTCTGGTTCTGTTTACACGTGCCATTTTTATACCAACTTAAAGTTCTGTTTTCTAATCAGTCTGGACGTAATTCATTGCTTGTAGCCATGACTAGCAAATATTATGTTGATTTTTTTATTAGTTTTGAACAAAATTTAAAAATGAAGTTTTCCTGTTCAAAACAATGAAATAAAATGTGTAAATTTAAACTGTAATCATACTTACTTTCCAATTCCTTAAATTATTTTTCAAAGATTATACCAGGCTATGTTTTACCTATAGAGCACTTTGATGGCTAATTCTTGTCACTTTATCAACCCATGTCAGGGATGCCAAACACATTGGACACTGTGGGTCTGATGTCCACGATCAGAATGCATCTAGTATCTGGAGTCGAGTCTGTGAGACATTGCTGGACACTGCAGACATTCTAAGACAGATAATGATTGTCCAAGTCAACAGATAGGAACTTGATCTTTCCCAGAGGTTTCAAAAACAGTGTGATTCTTTGAGTTCTCTTGTAAAATATGCAACATGTTAAGTGTAAATATAAATGTAACGAAAGTGTCACTGATACCACATAAATCCTGTCAGTCAAAACGTCTAACTATTGAGTGCTGTGTGTATGTCTGATGTAGTTGAGGTTGTGCTTATATGTTGCATAGGGCATTTTGTGTCTGTCCCTCCCTTTGACCTGCTGTCTTTGTGCTTTGCTGCCAGTCTAAAAATGAATATGACATTTCTCTGTAGTTTTCACCAAACTGAGTCGATTTTTAACTCTTAACTATCTAACTGTGCCTGTCTCCTCTTTGATGCCATATTAGGGTTTGAATTTTTCAGCTTCTTTTAGTTTCTGGTGAGGGAGTGATTGTGCCCGGAAATTAGTCAGAATGGGGGCACAGAATCAGGAAGAGGGAGCTGTGAAGAATGATTTGAAAAAAAAAAAATCACTTAGCACAATACTCAATAAACATTTCTCACAGGCAAGTAGAGGGAATATACATGAAAGCAGATGACAGTTGTTTTTTCTTCTCCTAATTCAGTTAATAACTTTAACATAATACTTTCTCTTTCCACAACTGAACAAGCTTGCAAAATATGTTTCTGTGTAGTGAGAAGTGCATGCATGCCTGTGTGACCAATGGTCTGACTGTAACTCTGTGTGAACTGTGAACGAAAATCATCAGAGGCACTCCAACTGTATAATATTTGACCAAAGTAGCCGCTGTTCAATGTTATGTTTCCTTCCTGCAGATTATTTTTTTAAATATGCTTGATATAGTTGTTTTTTTTCTCAATGCCAAGAAGCTTGATGTTTATTTTTGTACTTGATTTTATCATGCATATTTCTATATCACTCTTGCTTCAGAATTGAAACCTATTGGGATTCCTAAGAAAACTGGCACTCATTAATGCATCATTGAGGGTACTAAGTGTAACTGTATTTCATACTGGAAGCATGTCCTAAATATGATTTATTTGTATAAAATGAAGCATATTCAATATATTTTTTCCTAGCATGCAGATTGCTGCTAAAATTTATGTTGAGTATTAAATAATGACATTGTTTAGGAATGGAGATAATAGCACTTTTGCTGTTTTTCAGACAGACTTATACTCATTTGAACCTGTGAAATAAAAGATAATCACTTTTTTTTTTTTCAGATGCTGCTAATATTATTTTCAATTTTTAATGAGTTTTTTTTTATTAACTTTAAGCCAAGTAGCAATAAAACTTTTTACTGTGAGTGGTTTTGTCCAGAATTCATTTTAATTACCATGTTAATTGTCATTATGAGCTGCAATTTATGCACTTCCTCTTGTCAGTCAATCTTATCCCTGCTGCTTACTGCAGAGATAATTTTACTTTATTTCAAAAAGTATTTCACTTTCAATGTATATTTACTGAACTTCGAATCCAACTTACCAGCAAAACATTGCATTCTACGTGAAATTTTAAACTTCTATACAAGCAGTGCTTTAATGTGTCTCTAAAGGGTAAGCAACGCTCTCAAGTGTAATATTCAAAAAATTTTAATTTTTCATATATTAAAAATGACTTGACTAGATGATAAGTACAGAATTCATGCACGCAACTGTGTAAAATACAGACCAAAACTTATCTGTTTTGCTTCAAGGCTGTATTTTTTTTTTTTCTTCTTTAAAATCAACATGCACCTACGGTTAATTTTTAAATATTATTTTTTATTTCTTATCTTTCATTCATAAAGACATGAGGGTAGGGGTTTAAGAAGATGTAAACATAGTACAAAGAAATCTGCAAACTAAAAAAAAGCAAAATAGCCAGAACTGTTTTGCTTTCTTGTGAACATCTAGTATACAATTAATATCAGTTTAGACAATACAACAACTACTACTACTTACATATTATGAACATACCTTCCAGTATATAGTTTTTCTTTGATAGTTTATTTTTTTCGACATAATGGATACTACATGGTAAGATCAGAAGCACTACCGTGTCTCCATAACTGTAACATCAGCACTTTTCCTGACAAAGTAGGTGCCACTCGAGTAAAAAAAAAAAAGAAGAATCTTAGTACTAATAATATACATTAAAGCAACAAAACTACAGCCATTAACTTTTTTCTTGTTTCAAGAATATATGTATTTGTTTACACTTTGTAGGACTTTGGTTCAAAGGATAAGCGGTCATACAATTTTTTTTACAAATATAGATTAGCAGTTAAAGATTTTCCTTTAACTTTTATAAGAAACAATTCTAACGATTGCTTTAAAATAGTAAATTAAAGAGTTCTGAATTTGTTTCACCAACTCCAGCTGGGCATTTTAGCTGTTCTATTAAAATCACCTCATTTGTTTTTCACCGGGAGGCTAACTTTTCTGATTTATACAGCACACTTTTTCAGTATTATGCTTTATTTGCCAAATAATACAATATTATACACAATTTAAACTGTTAATGCAATAAAATATGTACAGAAAAAAAGAAAATACATAAAACGTATTAATACATTTGTTTAAAAATGGCACTAAATGAAAACCTGTTTATAAATGATTGTCTTCATTTGTTATTCCCGTCTTCAGCTCTTGCATTGATCTGTAGGCTCTCACAGCTAACACCCCACCAAAGATGAAAACAAAAATCCCTGCCACCCCAAACAGTCCTCCTGCAATATCTGCAACATTAAAGCGGCACTCAAAACCATTATGCCCTTTGCTCTTGTACATTTGCTCCCTCTCCTGACAGATGGGGTTTTGGTAGGTTTCCTGTATTTTAACAAAATAGATCACTAGCCCGGCGACATAACCCAAGCTGATCAGAAAATTCACAATAGCCTCCACCAACAGCATGGGGGGCCTGCGATAAGGAACCCTAAAGATACCCAGGGCAAACATTACAAGGGCATAGATCATCAAAATCACGCCACAGGCCAAAGCAAAGGCATAGGGTGGCCGCTTGAGCTGGTTGAAAAGGCGGTCCAGCTCTTGGACCCTGTTTGAATCTGCTCCAGTGAAGGCGTTGGCGCCACCAAAATAATAATGGTAAATTCCTCCGAAGCTGGCCAAGTCCCGGTAACCCCCGTTGTTGCTGTATGGCACTCCGGCACAGATTATGATAAAAAGATTTAAAGCCTCCTCCATTAACTGGCAGATACCTGAGAGATGTGAAACAGAAAGCAGCAAGATCAACGTTAAAACTAAAAATATGTTCCACCAATTAAATACTGCAGACTCCAAGCAAACATGCCAGATATCCATAGACCACAAGTTAACTTAATATTAGAGAACCCAAGTCTTTAATGAGTACAATTAAAGTCTATATGTACAATTTAAGTGGAAATATACTAAGCAGTAATTATTACTATAAGAACTAAGCAGCAGAACTAAGCAGCTCTAATGAAAAGGTCCTCGAAGTGGATAAATATACTTGCCTCTAGTGGTTAGAGCGTATCTTAAGTTGTACAAAGCTTGTCTGTGCTTTTGCTGATTGACCTCAGGGTGATAGATTGATGTTTCTCTGGGCCTACAGAGACAATAGTTTTTTCATAGGGGGTAATATAATGTTTACAGAATAATATTGAGTATCGGATGTTGTCTTACAGTGTTGAGGGTCTTATGTCATATGGATATGCACCTGCCCCCTGGTAAACAGATGGACTTGTCACTTCTCTCTTTCCGCTCTCCTTGGTTCTTCTGTCAGTGACTCGCTCCTCCTCATCTCTCGGGTTTTGGCTGCGTCTCTGGTTATTATAGTGCTGTCCCCTGTGTGAGTAATCCCTGCTCATGTACTCTGCAGGTGCATCACTCCTCTGATGGTGTCTTCCACTGTCTGGCATCTTCCTTTACCTGCTGAAGAAGATTATTGACTCCAATAAGCAAAGTGGATGATTGACATGTGTCTATGTGCAAGAAGAGGGAACCTATAAGACACTGTAAGCAGCAAAGCAGAATATTTATGGTTCAAACCAGATATTTCCATATTCTGTTTTTTTTTTCTTTAAACCCAACATATTGACCAACATTTCTTTTCTTACTGTCTGATATTTAATCAGACTAAATGCTGATTTGGCTCAGTTAAGATGACAAAATTATTCATTCAGCATGAGTGTTGTCGAAGAATACTTGTCCTGCTTTCTTTAAATGCAGAGCATTTCCATAACATTTGGTATCCTTTCCGATAGCTAAATGACTTAACTATAGCCTTCCAAAGGTTTCTCACTTCAGTGACATTTTGGCTTGCTCTTTCTTAAACAACTAAGCTGGGTTTGTAGGGCCCTTGCCACAGAAGTTTATTTTTTGTCCAATTTGTATTCAAACTTAAACTCTCATATCTTAAAATCTTACAATATTGCTTATTTTTTCATGAAGTGCACAAGTTTCTCCATGAAGAAAACACCTCCATAATATGATGCTGCCTTCTTCTTCACAGGTGGGATGGCTTTCGTTCACCAAAACAAAATGCAGCAATCTCTAAGCTTAACCTATCAGAATCCTAAATGGCATCATCATCATCTCAGTATTCCCAAATTATTTTTACTCGGTTAAATTCTACAATGCTTTATTGATCGAGAAATAAATAAAGAAATGCTGCTGTAACGGATTGTTTTTAACAAGTTGTAGATGCTAACAGCTGTATAGATCTCTAGATCAATGCATAGAATACTTGCATTTTGCATATCATTCACCATAATATAATGAGAATGTTATAAAAGAGTTTTCAGACCTACCAGCTGATTTGTTGCCAAAGTATGATAATTAGCTGTTATGTGGGAACTTTAATGTTCATGTCTGCTATCCTGCTAACATGCAGGCAAACATGTTTTCAAAGCCTTTGTGATTTGTTTAGCTCGACTCCATCAGTGATATGGCCCACACAGCATTATTTACTAACTAGCATGGTTCTCTGGGTTCTGTTAAAGAGAATTGGGACGCAAGTATTTCAGACCACTTCTCCACCATCCTTCCTGTCCTAAATTCTATGATGCCAGCGCATCTTCTCTGGTTTATCACAATATGTTTGACAGATTAAAGTCAGGCTTCAGATACCATCATAGTACTGAATCCAGTTCAGAAAGATATCCTCCTGTCGCTTGATGCCGAAGGAATCTCTTACTGGTAATGTTGGAGCTTACAAGTCACTGTGGACTATCCAATCCTCATTACCCATAGCAGATCAGCCTTTCAGGAAACGCTGCTTGAGTGATTTAAGTAATATTTAATGGACATAACTTTCGCTATGGTGTTAGATGAGCTGCCCTCCTCCTCTATTCACCTAAGCTCTGGAGTGCCGCACGAATCGATTCAGGAACCTGTGTTCCTTCTCATTTAAACTTCTACCGTTAGGACCCGCTCTTGCACATTGTAATCTCACTTTACATCTGCATGCAAGATTATTTCCAAATCTATCTGCTGGTCACCCCTTATGCTTTACTCAGTTTAAACTTCTTTGACAGCTGCTTAAAGAAAATTAAACCGA